CCTAGCATGCACTCTTCAGGTGAGGACTCTGCAGTATCCGTGTCTTTCGGAGTGAACGTTGCCTCACTGACCGAAGAAACTTGCTTGCTCGTCGTTTCTTTTTGCGATGTTTTCATCGCCACAGTTTCGTCTGCTTGTTTTTATAATCATTTTGTTCTATATCAAGCTCAGCGGGACCGTTTTTTGTAACTTTCAGTGCCTTGTACTCTTATGAGTGGAGAATCGTTGCATTTGCTAAGCCTACTCGCTTCGCCTGGGGGCAGCCATGTTGATTTTGATATGGAGGAACATGTTTCTCTGTGGCAAAGGGAGCAATGTTTCTCTATTTAAAGACGAAGATTGGGGACATCGCCGTTCCTCCCTAAATGGAGAAAACGTCACTCCATCTTTTTTAAGAGTGTACATCTCCGGACGTCTGGCCTCTTTGCTACAATACCACCCCCTTGCGATGCATCTCTTCTAACTCCACATCTAATTCCTGCATCTTCTTTCTAAGTTCTTCCTTTCTGCGCTCAATTTTCTCTTTGTCCTGCTTGCGCTTCACTTCTTCTTCCTGATCTAATAAATACATATTCACAAAGTGCTCGATTTCCACCTTTTTAATTTTGCTTTCAAGAATTATTTCACGGAGTTAAGATTCAAGCATATCGTCATTAAAATTTAGGTCAAAATCCCACCACAGGTTCAGCAGGTTCTCTCTCGACAATTTCTGAGGTCCATGACTACTGTTTTGCTTTGGCTCAGCTTCGACAAAACACAAACCCACCAGCGTTTCAATTCTGGGTCTGGAGAAATTGAAGCCTGGCATATCCAACAGCGGAGACCACTAGCTTAAGCACACAAGTATTCCCACGTAGCCAACCTCCCTCTCTAACCTCTTTCTTCTTTCTTTTTCACTTTTCTGCTTTTTCCAACATCCCAGTTTTCCCGCAACATTTAACGCAAAACTCCCGCAAAATTTAACGCTTGATTCTATTGAATTATGTAAGACTTCCTGCTTAATTTACTTGCTCAGATAACTATTTAGTGCTGTTCTGTGCCGAGATAACAATCACAGTGGCCTGGCAGTTGCTGATTATATCTATCTTTTAAACGAATCTAGGCTGAAAGACTCGATACATCTCAAGCACAAAGCCAGGCACTCACCCTATTACATGTGGTTGTGGTACGCTGCGTCGATCCCGCCGAATTCCAGGGCTTTCGGCTGACCTCCGGTCCATGTCATTCTCCGGCGCTGAGCCGTATCCTAACGCTGCCAACCAGTTGTTGCGACGGGGTTTGCAGGCACTGGAGTTGTCGAGGCAGGAGGAAGAGATACTTGAAGAGGATTTATTTACAATATATACAAGGTGAGCGCTCATACATGACAAACTCTTTCTTACATGGTGAGCTCTCGAATCTAGCGTTCCTCTACATGGCGCTCTCGAATGAGCCGGGTGGCTCATTATAAAGGGTATGTTCTCCCCAAATCCCTCGATCAGGGAACACGTGCAGATGGTACTGTCCAATCACAGATCTCATACGACTGGCGAGGGGAACGAACATGCACAGCCCACGTGAACGTCCAATATTGAGGCGTGACTCTACAGTCCAAGGTGGCGCCAGCGGGGCTCTTCCTCGTCGTGTGTGTGCCGCTGGTCGAGGGGTCCCAAGTTCATGACAGCGTACTTCAAAGGGTCCGCCGAACTGCTCGCTTGATTGGTGGGGCGATTTGCGGTGGCCGCCGCGGTCTCTTCTAAAGAAGATGCTGTATTTGTTGTCCTCTCTCGAACGATTTACGGCGTCGTGGCGACACGACCTCTCACCCTCCGTCTTGGAGGGACAATGCCTGGCGGACATAGGCAGCTGGCCGGTCGGCTACTTGTTTGAAGATCGAAGAGTGCCGCTCTCTCGTCAGCTCTGGCGCTAGTCACAACAGCGTACACCGACTCGCCCACATCACACGTGCCCCCGATGAGAGCATTGGTCTTGGCTACTTTTCGGCCTAAGCAGGCATGCTACAGTAAAACGAACCCGTTTGCACGCCGGTTCAGGATGGCCGCAATATAGTCGAGGAGGACTCTAGTCATCACTGACAAGACCCAAGGTGCTATGCAGGATGGCCCGAGGTTGTCGGGCAGACGAGTTTGCTCCGAGCTCATTCTGTGGTGATTATGACATGACAGTGCAGAGCGTGGGATAGCAGCCTTGATAAATATGGCTACAGGAAGGCACGTGGCATTGGTAACGCATGTGGGTCATTTGCGGCGTTTATCAAGGAAACATCGCGTGTGAATATGTCCACACCGCCACTCAGTCAACATTTAAACAGTGCAGTGACGTCGGCGTGTTGTTGGCAACTCAACACGCGTCTCCCACAGGCGTGTTCATGGGTGTATGTCCTCTTTCGCACAGAATATTTCATTCCACCTGCAGCATGGAAATTTGAACTCTCGAAGGCAGCAAGGAGGCACACGCAGTGTTCTTCTGCTGTTTGTTTCACTTCTAGGCAATATTGCAGATAACGAGGACAGGTGGTCACCAGGAGTGCTCCCATCATGTTGGGAATGTGGCTGTGAATAGATACGTCGTGAGCGCGGTGTAATTGATTGCGTTATATTGTAGCCACGTATTGATATCACTTTTACTTCTTCGTGCGTGTGTTCATAGTGTGCGCCATAAAGCTGATAGATAAATCGTGCCATTCGACGTGAGTACTGCTCCTCGACAAAAGCAAACGCGGGGGGCGAACCCGATCTTCGCCACGGGCGTCTGTCGAACTGATTGCCGCGTGAAGTCAGATACAAACTCATTGATTTTGAGAAGACCCGAGTTCAAATCGTGACTGTGACGGTGCTTGTGTGACTGTCAAGCATTTCATGCGGTGAATGCTACGCGGCAGCTTCTTTGCATATAAAATAATTTGGTGAGCTTACACTAATTCGGCAAGGCTGGAGCCGTAGAGAAGCTCGTGATCACCTAGCATGTTATAGCTATTTAAGTTGGTGGTCTACTTATGTGCATGGTCAGCTTCGAAGTGGACACCACATCAGCGGTCTTAATTTTACTGTACTAATTAGCTGAGGCTTAACGACCTTTATACTGAGCTGTCTCGTACTTACTGATTAGGCTTTATCGAAAGGCACTTATCTCGGGTGCAATGAGAAAGGCCATGATAAGTATGGAGCTAATGAACATTATCCTGATAGCAGGATACTAATTCTCATCATACTTAGTAGGGTCTAATCAACATTTCAGTAAGCGTGCTCATGACCAAAGTCGCGTAATTAGCTTAGCATAGTTTAGTTAGCTCCTCAACTAGCACGCTTGAGTTGGCCTGGTTCTAGCTTTACATGGCTTCATTAGCATGGTATTTTTAAGATGTGCCATAATTACCTCAGCGTTACCATGACTTGGCGAATTCAGCTTCATCATAACATGTCCTGGCCTAACTTGCCAAGTATACTGTCCAATAAAAAAATCGCAGCATAATCACAGAGTGAATTATTAAGATTATGGCGAAGCTTTAGAGGGTTAGAATTCATTGGTGAACCTTGAATCGTTTGTCGCGTCTGTCTGTCTGTCTGTCTGTCTGTCTGTCCATCGGTCTGCACTTGCTGAGTCAATCACCTAAATAGGTGGTCACGTAGCACGAAACAGGAGAGACTGACCCACGGCTTCAAGAAGGCCGCCCATTATAGCTAATTAGCCGGGCACACGTGCTCGAGTGCTAGGGGTGATGCCATCAAATACGACGTGCACCAGCCAAGCAGGCTGACCATGATAATTAACACGTGTCTCGGGATTGAATCCCGGCTGCAGTGGCTGCATTCTCGATGGAGGCCAAGAAGCTGAAGGCCCGTGTGCTCAGATTTGTGTGCACGTTAAAGAACTCCAGGTGGTCAAAATTTCTGGAGCCCTTCACTACGGCATCTCTCATAATTTACGGTGGTTTTGGGACGTTAAACCCCACATATCAGTCCATCAACACGTGTCTCGGGTTCAGCTGCGGTCGCGATGTAAGACGCTCGGCCAGTGCTCATCTTAGAGGCCATAATGCTGATTATTCCAAAAGAGACTTAGTGCAGGCATTAAAAGCTTCAAAATAAATTGAGACACCCTGTGCCTCTAAAAACTGTTATCACGAAAATGTTCCGATACTTTCATTGCATGGGTGTACTTCTGCACTCAGTGGAGCGACAAACAAATGAAAGAAGATGCCTCTGGGTTGAAAACACCGTCCAACCTAATCGACCGTCCTTGACGCGCTGACTGGTTCTATCATAACCAATCAAACATAGCGTTCTGAGGGGTAAATTTGACTATTTCATACTGTTGGCTCATTCATAAGGGTTGTCACCAGAGCTCGGGAAGATCCCCAGTTCGCAAAACTCAAACGAAACTCGACCGATTCGGCATAGCACTCTACTCTGCTCGGGGAGTGCATCGTCCAGCCGAGAACTGTTTATTACGAACTGCATCATCCACTGACTGTGTGTATGCAGGGAGGCGTACACAAAATATGAACACATGCATGATGTGCTGCCACACTCTCACACACAAATTCATCTGCTGCCCTATTATATTGAAGGAACGTGCACACGTCAGTCATTGTTTGGTTAACCCTTGTTGGCGAATGTTCTCTGTTCTCCATTTTAATTCTTTACTCTGAGTTCGTTTCTTGCATTGTCTAGGGCGTGCCTCCTTCATTCTTTGTTTGTGGGAAGTCCTGTCAAAAATGAGTGCTTGAGGCTAATCGACAAATGAAAAGCTAATTCTTGCTATAATTCGGATATATTCCCAAGCAATAAAGCCAGACACGCACTTAGTTGCTTCCCAGTAATAGTAAAGAACAGAGGATGAGTGGGCTGAATGTGTGCGGCTTCAAGTGCCCGGTTTTCTTTAGCAACATGGCGGCGCATTATGAATTCATTTTTGCGACATATCTTCATTTGCAAACTTGACATTCACCTTAAGCATTCACCTTCTTCTCGTAGAAAGGTCATTCTCATAATAACGCAATGTCCCTTTCCAGGGATGATTGTCTGAAGTGCCGCAAGCTTGGCGAAGGGTGCACAGCCGATGTGTACCTCCTCCAGAGACCGAATGGCGAGGAGAGCGTCGTCAAGGTGATCCCTGTGGGCAGCGAACGGAACATTTACGGCGAGCTACCTATGCCGCTTGCCAACATCATTACCGAAGGGGTCATAACAAGGTCAGCGCACTGAGGAATCGGTGGTCTTTATAAATTTAAGGAGATTTAATACATATCAACGAGTGGTAGGCAGGTGAGTCGCCATCAGTGCGTGGTGACGACCCTGCAGTGAAAGGTGATACATAATGGTTGATTACACGATTGATAGCGTAAGAAAGATGGGTTCGCAAAAGAACATGGGCTGCGGCTGTCTTCAACTAAACTTTGTTGCATTCTACATGCAAGTATACATGCATAAAAATCTGTGACCGCACGTGGACAGGAGGCTTGTCAGAAATCGATAATGCATATGGTAATAAATGCCTCGCAGATAATTAAGATCCTGGTAATGAAGTGCTGATGGGAAACTATACTAAAACACACATCAGCTTCTCTTCGCATGTCAGCTTCATATATTTTCATTTTGCCCTCTGTCGCGAAGTTTCGCAGCACTGGCGCGTTGTCGTATACGGACAAAATGAACATCTGCAATTTTATGCAGTGTGCCCACCCCAAAGCCAGCACTTTCAAGGAAGGCCCCTCAGTACACCTACAACCTTACATTTATGCACCAGGCAGTTTGAATGACGTAACTTCCATAGTACAGCTATATGCTGCGTACCCCTGCAATATAGTAAAGAAATGCATGGCATGACTCACATTACAAGCTAGCTTAGTGATGTGGCTGTTACGCACACAGAAGTACTAATTAAAGGGGATGGGAAGAGGACAGGTGCGCAGACGTGTGTTCGGGTACCACAACCTGCAACAGTGATCTAGTGGTTACGGTGCTCGACATCTCATGCGCAGGTGGCCGAATCGGATCTCTGCCGCTGCGGCCATATTTTTGGTGGAGGCTAAAATGCTTGAGGCTATGTATCTAGATTTAGGTGCGTGTTAAAGAATGCCAGGACGTAAAAATTTTTGTAGTCCTTCAATATGGCATCTCTCATAATCAAATTGTGGTTTTGAGACGTTAGACCTCAGATTATGATGGGCTGTGTCCAACATATCAGTACATGTTTTTTGTGGCACTTTATGTTTGTATTAAATTAAAATTATGATTTACTTAGTTCCTTGAAGCAGAACGAGATAATTTCTCCTAATTGTTTGTTGGAATATACTTATGCAGTTTAATTTGAATTGTTCATGAGAATGTCTCCACAGTGCCATCTATTCGGTTCAAAACTAAACTTTGCCTTTTTCTACTACCTAGCGCTGACTCTTGAGGTGCTTCTACGTGGCAGCGATACCCGGTTGGCTACTGCACTTTGCAGCCTGCTTAGATGTGATGCGATTCTTCCTAAATGAATGTTCTCGATGAATTAAAACCGAGAAACGTACAAAATATGCAGAAAAATCTTAAAGAACAGGTTTTTGCGTAGCTTGAGGGAGACAGACAAGCAGTTTGCTATGGCTGGCAATTAAAAGATATGAGTCATTCAAGCACAAACTTGCTGCAGCAATCCTGGAGTCTGTTCTCTGCTCGCTTGTAGGTAGACTGTGCAAACAATGCAAGTGCTGTAGCATATACGAAAAAGTAAAGGTAATCATGATCAATTATTGCTAACGCTACACAGCTCGAACCGTACTGCATGGATTGGAGCCAGATCAATTACATCAGCAGTTGTGGTGGTGTTCGTCAAAGCCTGATTTTGGTTCTAATATTGCCTATTCTCAATTAAAAATTGTAATACACACCACAATTGTATGCATATGTCTTGGTTAGCTATAATGTAAGGTTGCTCATCAACGCACACATATGTCAACTAACGCTTCTAGTGATCACACATCAGTGCACAGCGTGGCACGCATTCGGCTTCGATAAAACTGATGTCTATTCCCTAACGTAAGTGCCGACATTATCTCGGGGCACACCCTGCACTTTAGGTGCAGTACTGGACATGTACGATAAGCCCGCGAATTGCGCACATTACTCGGTGTATATAGTAATACGTTCATCTACTTTGTAACGCTTTCGCCCAAAGCCAAACAGTGCGGTACATAATGCTGATGGCTTTGCATAACATCGACTCTCACAATGCGGGGAATCGGCTGGCAAATTTTTTCTTCTATCTTTTCGCAGAGAGCTAAGCAACTTGCGCCTTGGTCAGATGAACCAGACGTCAACTTTCATCAAGCTGAAGAGGTGAGTACCATATGGAAAGGCGAGGCAACGTTCGTGAGCTCACGCAATGTACATTGTAATAATTATTGGCACCCTCGTCTGGTCCTTTCAGAGCATTTTTGGTACTTTGAAGGTTACACGTAAATGGCAAAAAGCACCTAAAGTAATCAGTGCGATACATCATCTAGAAACACTGTTATAAGGCTGCTTAGGTTTACTCTCTCAGAACGTTGAAGCTGCTGAAATAACCCCTTTCAGACACAATCACCACGCCCTCAAACGACAACTGGAGTCTACCATGAGTTTTATTTGTATTTTTCATTAGTTTTCGAATGGACCATGTGTCACATAGGTCCCGTTGATTCGGGAGGCGATCGCCGGGCTAATTCCAAGGGCCGAAGTATCGGCCCTCCCAACCGCACCACGAAAGCGTGGACAATTTAGAAGTGGTCCTATTTGGCGCGCCAGCGGACGCCGGCTGTGGCCCAAAGAACAAGTCAGAGCCGAGAGTTGATAAACAAACGAAATTATATTCTCAATAATGGCAGATCAAAACAACAAGTATGCACCCTCCACAATAGTTGAGTGCAATATGTCACCAAACAAACAACGTACTACACAGTACAATCAGCCACACTCGAAACAACGGACACAGGCAACAATACGCACTACAATGCAGTCGCATGCATTGAACAACCAAGACACCTAAAGAGATAGAAAACCTATTCAGTCCAAAGTTCTTGGAACAAAAGTCTGGATGATACTCTTCCGAGAATCACTCACTCAAAGTCAAGCGATGTTGTCGTTCCGCAGCCCCCGAAATTTCTCTTCCAGGGAACCTCGCCGAAGTTTCTCTTCCAGGAAACCTCGCGTCTTCAATTGGCCACTCTCCAAGCTTCAAACTTCTTCGCCGGAAACACGTCGGCTTCACACACGCAGCTGTTGCCACGCGTCTTCGCTCGATCGCGGTAAACACACACTCTTGCCTGTAGCTCAAGTCGTCACCCCTCAGGTGGAAAGTATCTTCTTCTCCTGCTTTGTATGTACGGACAAAACCTTCGCCGACTACACGGCGGAATCCCTACGCGCTCTGGCGCTGACTTCCGTCTTCTCCTGATCTCTCATCTCCGCTGCTCGGTTAAATACCTTCCGCGCGCGATCCCAGAAAATTCTCATTCTTTCGTCGGCGCGATGCGCAGCGAAGGCTGGGGAGAAGGTCGAGACGATACGAGGGCCGTCCGCGACGGATGACTCAACCCGGCATCACCACGCCTCTTTCCATCTAGAAAGTTCGAGTGCTTGCTCGGCTGCCGTTGTGCGGTGAGGAGGTTCGTCGGCGAATCTACGCTTCCGAGGGAGAGAGTCGCGCCCGGGGAGTCTGGATGTTTGTTTCTTTTTTTTTTAATCGTTGACCTCGCGGCGTCACTCCGGCGTTTCGTCGCGAGGAGTTGGCGGCGCGCCCTTTTTGAGCGCTCGTTCTGTGACACCATGTACAATTGTAAGTCACGATTGTGGTGTAATTGGTCGCATTAAACATTGAGTGGAAGAAAAAAGCAGAAATCAAATGAGAGAGAATATTTACAAAAAATATCACCCAGCCCTCAAGATCATTTTAAAGCAAATTTTCAGAATGACCTGTTTTTCTTTCGTAACAATATCATTGTTCAGAAATACGTCAGTTCTGGCCAAATGTTTTGTTTGAACTGACAGAGTGAGGATCTCTGCGGTTTACGGCTATGCCGCCAAGAATGTTGAGGGGAGAAGTCGTGGTGTTACTTTTAGTTTGCGTGACTCACTCTTATTGAGCTGAATGATTTTATATCCCAGCTTTATTTCTGTGTGGTCTATGTGCCATATATTTCAGAAAAGTCTGACTGAGCTGTGCATTATCTTTTACCGTCGAAGAGCTTATAAAAAAGCCGGGACACAAGTACGCAATATATATTACTTGTCAATCATGTGCATGATTATTGGCTCATATAAGCGTACGTCGACAAAATCGCTGAATTATGTTCCTTTCATGACCATCTTAATGATTAACTGTATCTTCACGTCTTTATATTACTTATGAAGATGCTACAAAACTCAGTCAACCGATTGTTGAAACAAACTACACTAAAGAGCTCTGGCCTTACAAATCACGAGAAAAGGGGTAAATAGAACAGAGTTCTTCCATTATACTGTATCGTTGTCTGATTATTGAGTACGATATCTTTTACCCGCACACTACTTCTAGGTATATCAGCACCATTCTGAAGTTGTCATTTCTTGCAGAACGTACTTCGTTCAAGGGACTTACCATCCAGTCTTGGCTAAAACGTACAGTGAGAATGGACAATATGCGAAACGCGGATCAGGAAGGTTGATATTTCACTTTAAAATCAGCACAACGTTATGAGCTGGATGTTATGCTGTATATGACTTCCATATCAAGATTATCATGTTTAGACGTGTTGTTTACCTTTGTAGTCTATTCATATCACATCATGCCAAATTTGGTAAATGTATAGCTAGCAAAACGACTCCGAGCGTGCTAAGTGCAGCATGTAGTGATGTTTTACATGACACCATGTCATGATTGTCATGTTTGCACAACTCATATATCTTCGTCATTCATTGACGTCATGTAACACCGACCTTGATATTTTTTAAGCTAGTGGAATGGCTGCCAGCACTCTATGAGCGTAGCGTGTAGTCATGTTTCACATGACACGCAAGTCATGATAATGTTTCGTCGTGTCATTCACCGTCGTACGTCAGCGTCACGTAATGCCAAATTTGCTACAAGTGAAGCTAGTGAAATGGCCGTAAATGGACTGTGAGCGTAGCATGTGTAGTCAAGTTTTACATGACACGCATATTTTGAGTATCATGTTTAGACGTGTCATTTACCTTCGTCATCTATTCCTGCCATGAAGCACCAAAGTTAGTATATGTGGAGCCAGCAAAATAGCTGCGAGCACACTATGAACTTAGCATGTAGTCATGTTTCACAAGACAGGCATGTCATGATTATTATGTTTTCACCAGTCATTCACCTTTGTCATTCATTGACATCACGTAACACCGAATTTGGTATATGTGAAGCTAGCGAAATGACCGCAAGTGCATTACGAACATTGCTTGTAGTCATGTTCTTACACGACACGCTTCTTATAATTATCATGTTTGCACCAGTCATATACCTTCGTAATCCAATCACGTTTCGTTATACCAAATTTAGAGTCTGTTAGGATCTGTCATTTATGTTCGTCATGTAGTCATGTGATACCATAGCAGTTTTGCAATATATTATGTGAATGAAACCACCGCAAGAGCAACAAGGCTATGAAATGTAAATCATGACATTCTTGACATATCATAATTTTCATGTTATGACTAGTAGATTATGTTTATCATACAGTCATGTTATGTCATACCAATTTCGGTATGGATACCATGATCGAGACGGCCAGAAGAGCTAAAAGTCATAGGTGGCTACATGGGTGGGTGGATAGGTGGGTGGATGAATGGATGGATGGATGGGTTTGGGCTCTAAGTCATTGTAGTTTGCTAAGAAATGCTTCGAAATTGATAAACCGAGCAAGCAGGTGCAATCAGTTCCACGAACAAAGTATTAGGAGAGATTGATGAAAGGTAAGAACTGTTTCTGTAGGGCTTGTAGGAAGCATGGCTCAGCGTCTGCAAGAATGTGATTTAGGCAGGAAGGATGTCAATTGGACAGGAGATGGAATAAGAGCGGCAGCCACAGGCGAGGGCTTTGTCGACGGTCCCTACAGCTGTCTGGCGGGTCCATTGCGCAACAGAAGCAAGAAACTGCCTTCAATACATGACTGCGGTTTTAAATAAGGGACAGGACGTCCCTCTGTGTAGCCGCCTGTATAAACCCTGGCGACAGTGAGGTGATTAAGGCTGTCATCGAGTTTGAAGCACGTTTGAAGCATGATAGTGCATTAAGCAACAAATGCCACCTTAGAGAAATGGAGAATGTGCATTTTTTTCTCGACATCATATCTGCCCACTCATTGTGCAAATGCGTTTCAATATTGCACTACGGGGTCTTTTGCACCAAGAAAGTGTCTTTAGATATTGAGGAGCACAGTACACAATAGAATTCACTGTAAAGTTTTGTTTGGTCAGGGGGGTGGGGAGGGTGGTAATGAGACAGTAATTTTTTTCCCTTATGTTTCCTTCATTGAACTACTTCTTCATAGTGAACCCCTGGTGGTCGAAATTTCCGGAGCCCTCCACTGTGACATCTCTCATAATCATATGGTGGTTTTGGGACGTTAAACCCTACATATCAATCATCAATCAATCAATTCCTCCATAGCTGAAATAGAACTTATGACCTTGAAAGAAGTGGTGAAAAAACTTGTCACAAAGTTGACGCAGTGAACGGTAGCGTTAAGTCAAGCATGCTCAATTGCCCTGCAAACAATTGATTGGCAGAATGCCGAAATATTGAAGAAAAACAATGATATGGAAAAAGTATCATATTTAGGACTTCTAAAATACTCATAACGTTTGCTGCCATGAATCTTTCATTTTCTCTGAAAATTTCCACACTGTAGCTTCTAATACTGTCATATCTGATTTTGTTTTTTATTGCAATTATATTGGCGACATATCTCTCACGTGTGTACACATTGAATATTAGGCGTGTTTTTAGCAACTATATTTATTACCGGTTCCTTGTTTTTGTTTCAGCAAACTTTGCGGAAATGCAGTTTTACGTGCTTCTCGAGTTCGAGAACGGCGGCAAAACACTGGAGCGCTTCAAGGTATTGGCGTGGTTCACTTACGCTTATTCCCCTTTATAGCCACACATCATTTGTCAATCGCATGACATTGCGCGCCTTGCAGGTGGCTTGAAACAAGTGTGTAAATTAGAGACTTTGCGCGTACGTGCACAGGCGCACAATTTTCGATGCAGGGCGGAAGGTACCGCATATTTGATGGTGGCAGCACATTCATTTGGTCTACTCGGAAATGGCCCATTCTTTAAAAGCACGAAAAAA